ATTTCTAAGGCTTAAATGGGATATCGTGATCCATTTAGGTTTGCAGATGAGCAGAAAAAATTTGTTCTTATTTCAGTATAGGAACATAAGGTCCCGAGAAAGGTTTAGTGTTGATTTTAATTAATAAAGTCTGATTTGGTTATTATCCAAACTAAAGGCTTATTAAACAGTTTAGAGGGATTGAATATAGATGGCATTCAGACGTATCCATCCACAAGCGGACAGAACAAGTTTAAAATTGGACAAAAGCAGACCCCTAGGAAGAGACCGTTAGCAAAGTAAACATACCAGGAACGATATTGACCGATTTAAAGAAGGGACAGAGCGAACTGTTTGCGAAGGCTGTGTCAATATGCCAGATGCAAATCTCCACAGAACTAGCCTAATTTCCAAAGCCGCCGTGTAGATCGAAGTGGCACCCACTCGAGAGCTCTCCAACACCCCTCCCTATCCCGTATCCACTCCCGTCGCCCCTTCTTGGCTTTATAATACCCTCCCTTGCATATGTTTTATGTTTATAAACATATTGAATACTACATACAGATGTATATCACCACAGAATATCTCCCTACTGTTAGTGCGTAAAAATAAAATCGTGTGTAAAACTTTTCCATTTTTATTCTAATCGTAATAAAGGTGACATTTTGAAGTCCGCAACTGCTATAAGTTGTCTGCTATTATGAGAAAAAAAACAGAGGGAAATAAAATGCGAAATTAAACTAATAAATCATAAAAAACTAATGATTTTTTTATGCTATGCTTAAAACACTCAATTTTTACATACAACTTTTGCACTAACAGTATTGATATAAAATATTCATTAATTAGATACTACTGTTACTTATAGTGTTTATATTCATTATACTTTTGTTTGATGCTTACTTGTATGTAGAACTTGTGGTACACAAATATTTGAAGAGACATGAAATATAATTAAAACATGATAGTATTATTCCAAGTATTGTCATTAATACCTCATATACTTGTTTGGATTAATAGTCTTAAATATGTTTTTCGCATTTACATCCGATTTTATTCTGTTATTTTTACATTGTAAAATCCCAAGAAAGAGAACAAAAAAAAAGTTCATCAGGATTTTTACCAGTGACAGTCTTTATAATTTACCAGAGCGTTACACATTGAAGATCTGTCGGCTCAATCTAGTTTACTCTCCACAAAAAAAGTGCAAAACGCGCCTAAAGAAGTTTTCACTTCAAAAACAATTAGTAGATACTACCTTTAAAAAAAATAATGTTATTGATGTTAAAAAACGATGCAAATTTTTACACAATAGTTTATTATTTCCAAAAAGTAATGTTATCACAACTTTTCTTGTCACTTAATTAAAAATAAATAAAACGCAATTAATATATTGGACTAAATGTTTATTTTTTCATCGTTAGTAATTTGCTAAAAAATAAAGATAATAAAAATATCGATTGCTTCAGTTAATGTAAGGCTTGCCAAAAAACAAAAAAAGAACCATAGGATATTATCGTTGTAGCAGGCCATGTGGAATATATTTTGAACAACATATCTTCCCACCAAATCCTTTTATTTCAACAATTTCTTTTTCTTTTATTTTTGAAGTGAAAACTTCTTTAGGCACGGTTTGCCCTTTTCTGTGGTGAATGAATTATTTTGATCCGTCAGATTTCGTTCGGCATTAACGCTCGGGTAAAGTCGGCTAGAGTCGACTAATTAAAATATTTTTACATATGGATTAAAATATCTCAGAAACTATAAATCGGATCTGCATACTGTAAGTGAGGAAATTGTTCAGCATTTCATCCTCTCTGTAATAGGTCATAATTCAAAATTGCCGGAAAAAAATAGTGTTAAAAACTAAATGATGAGGTTAGTTAAACATATGGTTTAAAATATTTCAGATACAAAAACTCGGATCTGTATACTGTAAGCGAGGAGAATGTTCAGCATTTCATCTTCTATGTAATGAGCTATTATTTGTAATTATATTATATTTCATATTATTAATCTCGCCTTGTTTTCAATTATATCGTGTGGTACCTTTTTTTATTTTTTTTTTAAATATTGTAAACCACATACAACATCAACAAAAGCCTAAATATGTACACTATTTTTGTTATTCAGAAACTTATTTTTGGTAAAGTATGTTATATCGATAAATTTAAAGAACTTCAAAGAAGATTTTAAAGTTTCATTGAAATCGGTACTTTGGTATATGCGCTACAGCCTATACGGTAAAAGTCATTCGACCGCCATAGTGAAAGGAAAGTACTTTTCGTTGATATATGCTATATACATAAATTTAAACTGCTTCGAGGTGAAGATTTTGGCCAATTTTCATTAAAATCGGTGCATTCGTTTAGGTGTTTCAGCCTATAGCTAAGCAGGTTTTCAGCCGCCATCTTGAAAGGAAAGGGCGGATGGTAATGCCGAGTTCTGAGGATCATCCTCGGGTGCTCTGAGACATTGATACCAAATCTCAAAAAAATTTCGAATTCAAAAGAGTCTAGTAGTCTCGGAGAAAAACCGTGGACGGGGGACGGATAGATTTTTTAAATTTAATTTCGGATTCTACGTAATTGAAACGTAAAACCTCATATTTTGAGCGGGAGTTAACTTTTTCTTTCTTGTTCGATTACAAAGGTTGATTATTGAAAATAATTAACTGAAAAATTTAAAACTATTATCGTTAAGTAGTATGGACGTTCCGGAAATAACTCCACAACACTAGAACTATTCCTATTACGAACCATAGGGACCGTTGAAGATAACCTCAAATGATAACATTGGATCGCTGATAGAGAAGAGAGGTAGAAGCGATAGTAGACGGAGAGGACTATAGAGGGAGACACTAACGACTTTTCCATATAAATGGCAGTTTCCGAGCAGATTGACGGCTGATTGTTTTTCCCTCCCCATTTCCCGGCCCATTAGCGACCGTTGCTCGATTAGTTGGCTAATACTGTCTCTCTTTCACTCCCATCTCTCTGTCTCTACGCATCCATTTTTGGGTTAACCTCCTCTCACTTTCTGAATTTTTATAAATATTTCGATTAATCAATAAGGATATTTTTAAAGATGATTATGAATTATCGGTATTAAAAAAACCCTTAAATTATCATGCTTTATCAATTTAAAAAAATAATATATCTTTATTTTTCTCTGCTATATTAGAATTTAAAAATTAGTTTTTTATTGTAAATAAAATAATATCTTCACTGCACATTTTTTTTTTTCGTTTTACTTCCTACAGTATCCTTTAATAATACCTCACTAGAACAAATCCGATACCTAAGACTCCACTTAAACAAATGTCTAACTTGGAATCCTTATACCTGACTGAAACGACAAGAAACCACTCGACGTTTCCGCCTACTTCAGTACTTACTACACAAAAGGTCCAAGCTTCTATTTAATTACAAAAGACTCATATACATGACTATTTAGACATATGGAGTTGAGCTTTGAATCTCCACTAAGCCATCGAATTCCTCTGGTATCTAATTGTTACAATTCAAAAACTTTCGTAAAATCCTTAACGCTCCTTATTTTGATAATAATATCTTTAACCACCTTAGTTTTTCTTCTGTTTCCGATTTGGCTCAATTCAGATATATATCCATAAAAAACTTCAGAATCAACCGAACCCTCTCGTTTTTAACCTTGCTTCTTCTTCAATTCCTGATAACACTACAAGGCGTGTGAAAAAAATATGACCACGTGATCTCTTAATGTAAATATATTATTAGAGTGCTAAAATTTGATAGTGTCTCAAAAGTCTCTCATGTGATCGTATTCATTTGTTTACATTTATTAGATTTATTTTTATATTAATACAGTTAGTAAATATCCCGAACAAACTTTTCAGATTTCATCTATCTCATTATCCAAATCCTGTTGTATAACCCCTGTCTAGAGCTCTAGTCATTCCTACAACACACCCAGAGGTTAAAACGGCAGTGGCCCCGTGACCAATACATTGTGACTCACCTGATAAAGAAACTCTGGGATCTCCTGAAGTCCTGTTTTGCCTTGCACATGTGGAGGACAAAGCTTGACTTGGATTTTATTTATTTTTATTTCTCTCAGCTTCAATGGAGCTAAATGATTTGAATAATGTATAGGATTCTGGTGAAAGTTTTAAAATTTTGATGGGATGATATCAAAGATAAATGGTATGTTGGGATCATGATTAATGTAAGATCTTGTTTCTGAAATAATATGAAGCATTGACTATTATTCTGTGTACTTAGAACTGATAGGATTTGATATGTTTGAAATTCGAATAATGTTCACCATTGTTTAAACCTGTGGACCTATCAGGTTTTGAAGATTAATAAATTGTTTTCAATTAAAATATGAAAAGTTCTGTATATTGGTTTATATCGCTGACTATCGAATGGCTATGCTCATGGATTCTAAGTTAGTACATAACTTTAAATTTTCAATATTTTTTCTGTAAACCTCACGCTGTTAGACAACAAAAGAAAACAAATAACTTCTATTTATTCAAAACCTACGTGTCTACGTATATTGCAAGTTTTTACGAGAACTGAAATGTAGGGACAAGTAAATAGCCACACAGCGCTAACTAACAAAATAAAATTTAGTTTCAATTTAGTTTCGAATCATTCAATCGTTTATTAATGTTACAAACACAAAACTGTTATCATGCTCTTTTCTTCGTACAAAAAAAAAATGAAATTGAAATTATTAAATTGGATTTATTAATATATGTCTTGATGGCATTTTAGATTATGACAGAGCTGAAATATCTTAGATTTCGTGAGAATAGTTAATGCTTTCCTAATCCCTTCTATTAGGATGTTGATCCATTAATTAGATTTAAAGTTAATATTTCTTTTTAGCGATATAGATCTAGGAATGGACCGCTTGATGATTAATGCGCTATCAATATTTATACTGGATTCGGAACGAGGAGATTGGGCTCTCGCAAGGATGACGGATCGGGAAGGCGACGGAGCGGACTAACCGGCCTCACGTGACCGCTAATGGTGGGTCACGTGACCCTAACAACTTGATGACATAAGATTGGGCCGGTTAATATTCAGGAGGCATATGCTCCTCTCTCTCTGTTTGCCCGCCCCTTCTCCTTTCAATACGCTCCATTTGTCCTATAGTACTTGCACCAGTTACAGCTCCCTCTCGATGCATCCAGTTTGTCACGCAATTACCTCTATGAAGAATAAGTGACGTAATAGAGTGAGAAGAAGAATGTAAACTAAGCGATGACGAATGAGGATTATCAGATATTTATTTTATCCATTGATTAATTCTGAATACTATACATATTTTTTCTCACTTCATTTTTCTACCATATAAAATCCAATGATATAACTGACAAACAGAAAGTGGTGTGATTTAATTCATCAAATAAATATATGTACGTTAGGCACTAGTAAGAACAATAACCTTATGAGGCTATAACACACTTACTTTGATTTTATGCATTTCAGATTTTTGATATTGTTAGGAAAAACAATATACCTAAAGAATTTAGACATACATATTTGATTAAAATAAAAACTGGACAAATGTTTCATTATATACTTTGAATGTTATTAATTTAATTAAAGGTTAAAAATAGACTTAAATTTAGTCCGATTGAGTATTTTGTAAAAATAATTATGTGCGATAGACGAATGTAATACTTCTTCTCTCTTGCTCCTATTATCTTTTTTTCCCTTTTTTGTTCTCTCCTCCCCAACCATTTAGGCTATACGGAGTTTTTCAGGGAGAGTGAGGGCGGGGTTATGCCAGAGTTAAAAACTCCACGGGCACCGGGACACGAACTCGTAATTATTTTACTGTGTCCAACTTCGGTTATCAGGTTGCTGCGCAACGCGCTGTGCAGTGCAAACGCGTTGGCCCGCTCGGCCGCCCAACCCCTTTGATCCTATTATCTCTCAGCTTTGAAAAAGGACCTCGGTCTGCTTTCGCTACTCGCTCCTATCTCCGTCCATTTGGCGTGTATTCCAAGTATTCCCTGCATGCCACCCTCGATCATCTTAACGATCCTCGCTCTTCTTGTCTGACCTCCTTGTACCAATTGGTCAGGCATTCTGCACGCAATGTCCGAACCACCTAAGTTTCTTTATTTTTGCCTTAATTGAGACTATATCCTGTTCATCCTGAATAACTTAGTTTGAGATAAAATCTCTACTTATGTTAATTATGATTCTTCTGAAAAAAATCATCAGCGGTTATTCTTCAGAAATGTTTCATTGTGCCCGTCCAATGTCTGTCTCAGTTAGTAACACAACCAAAAATACTATTTTAAAAATCAATATTTCGGTACCTCTATTGATTTCTTTTTGGAAATTATTGCCAATTTTAATACTTGATAATTTTGCAGATATAGTTAAGCACAGATGAAATCTATCAGAGGGTAGTTGGAAGTGCAGTCACAATTTCAAAATTTCTGCCAATTGAGGCCAGTATAGCTTCCTCACCATTTTCTCTGGTTCCACTCTTACCCATATCTCATGATCAATAATTTTTCTTTTGTGAATAATATAAATTATCTATCCCTAACTTCTCTTCAAATTTGAGACAAATCAAACGTGAGGTTTTTGAGATTATGGTTTTGTAAGGAAATACGTTTTCTCATATATAAAGGAAAGTATAGGATGGCATTCAATATAATCCATACCGCATCATTATTGGATCTGAAATATTGGCTTATCTAAGAATATATATAATTGCGCATGCGCAAGCAGAAGTGCTTTATGGAATTGAATAAAACCAATACATAATCATTACTTTGCCAAAACCCACATTTCTTTCAACTTTGAATCATATCGAACTAGCCGTTTCTTTTTTCTAAATGTTTTACTGTTTCATATATACCTTTGCTCCGTCTTGTATTGTATGTCTTCTCCTGGACTGTGAATATGCAAATGTTCACCGCCTGTTTAAAAAAATTTTATCAGCCAGTATGTTAGCAGCTCTGACAAAATCACAAAAAGGAGGACGAAATGTTGCCAACCATAAAACAATCACATATTATTTACGGTTTGTTTATTTCTAACCGCACCTCGGATTTATATTAATAATTGTTTCATACATTAAATATTGCAAGTAAGTGATCTTACCATTCTTATTTCTTTGGTTGCAGGTAGCATCTTCCCTTCGGCGGGTACATACTGGAGCAACCCAAGCGCCAACCTGTACTCCAACATCGGACACGGAATGGGCCATCCGGGTCCTCTGGGTACGTACCCCCACTACGCATGACAGGGCCGAGGATATATCCTCCCGGAATTACCGGAGGATTGAGGAGTCTTTGCGGGGTCCTACCAGGACTCTCTTCTTGTCCTGCAGGGCCAAAACTCTGGAAAGGAACGACAGGACACGATGGCAAGGGGGCAGTCGGAAGCAACGATACTACCACAAACTGGTTATCATTTGTATCACAACTATTTAAGCTGATCTGATTTAGTTTAAAATTCTTTTATTTGAATTGAATAATTTTGTTTTATATAATTTTTTTGATTTGGCAATATTCACCATCTTATTGGCTTTTTGGCGATTTAGGACTATTTTCATGTTCGATTGATCAAATTCCACTTTTTACTATGCATCCTATATTATTTAAATGTAGTAAGGACCTAATTAAACACATTATATTTCATTTAATTATTAAAATTTCATAGGATGAAATAAAACATATAAAAGTTTAAATAGTAGAAGAAAAATAAAATATAATATTTATTTACCGTATTTGATCAATCGAATTCAGCAATTCATTAAATATGTAAAACATAAACATAAAAATATATTAAATATAGTCTGGAGATGAATCAATAAAATCAGCTAACCTCGTTCTTAAATGAAGGAGATCAGATTTATTTTCAATTAACCAATTTAGTTTTATTATTGTTTATTGTTAATTTTTTAAGTGTACAGTCATAATAACGATGCCAAAGATATCCTAAATATGTGAACGTGTTAATTATTTAAAAGACCAACAGTGATTTAATTTTTAATTATTTTTATTTCTAGTCATTGTGTTATGATATTATATGAAAACGTATCTAGTCTTTTAAATCCATAGTTTTAAATATAAATAAATTTTCTTTTTGTTATAAATAGATGGTATTTTTTTTTGATGAATTAATATAGATTGTATTCGCTAAATAATTATAAAATTATAGCATTGTTCTGTTCTTATTAGCTTTCGTTGTAAATTTTGCATATTATATAGTTCCTTACGGGCTCGCTCGGACTTCGACGAATTTCATTCGGAAATATTAAACACGATTGTGATTTTCTTTTTCCTAACGTATCACAGGGGAAATGTTTGATGAGATATTTTTTCTCATGAAATGAAGTTTACGTTATTGTCTGAACGTAAACAATATAAATTTCAAAAAGATAATTAAAGATTAAAACAACCAAAAAAATAAATTATTTATAAATGTAAATGTTCTAATAATTCCAAACCTAGGACAATCGGAGTTGTGGAGGATAGTAGTTGACCTCTGTGTATATATATATTGGTCCGTGAATGTGTGCGTGTGAATATATTCGAAACTAGGCTTGTGCGTTATGTTTGACTCTTGAATTTTGAAAAAAAAAAAAAAATGAAGTCATAACTATTTGTAAAAAAAAAATCTTATATATTAAAATTACTTGAAGTTGTATTATCAATTTTCGTTTAAATAAGTTAATGAAAATAAATATTTTTTGTTTTTTAAAGATAAACCTGTTTTAAATAGAGTTGTAAGATCAACATAATACAACAAAATTAACATTCCTTAAATTAAACATGTGGTATTTTGGTTATGATTTTATTTTTATTTTTTATTTAAGTGAACAATATTTTCTAAATTGTATGTATTTTTATTCAAAGATAACGTTTTATTAACAATGCTTGTTCGAAAACGTATTTGGGAATATAACTTATTTATCCTTCAGGATACTATAATAAAAAACTCTCTTTTTTTTACGTCATAACAACATATTCTGATGGAAAAAAAAATTATATAATTTACAGATATATGAAGGTTTTCGCTAACCTCGTTAAATACTTTTATATTATTCAACTTTTCTAAAGTGATTAAAATAAATTATTTATTTATTCAGATATAGCTAGGCTGATACATATTTTACAGCACCCTTGCTAAAGTATTTTGAAAGAGTCAGACAGACGTACATTCCGCAACATATTAAAGTAACCCCAATGCTGGGGGAATCCTAGTCAAAACCCAGTATTTTTAAATTGTAAATATGAAATAAGTTTTAATGATGAAAACGAGAATACAGAATGTGATTTTATTTTCTACCGCTTAAAGTATATAGCTAAGTGTTACCTTAAATTGTAAATACCCAAATTTGCCTAGTTTAGCAGTATTAATGGTTAGATAACTAAGGGTATATATATAAATAAATTTATATATATATATATATATATATATATATATATATATATATATATATATAATACGGTATATATGTTGTATATGTTAAGGAGGTCAGTGTAATGGCTTCGCTCATTGTTTTAAACATTAACTTTGTAACGTACTGTATAAATGTTATGTAGATCCAAATAAATTGGATTAAAAAAAATTCAAAACTTTTATTTTTTTATTTTATAGAACCTATATTCATTTAAAATTACTTATATTCTTAAAATCAGACAGAAAGGTGTGATGTTTAATACTCTCAAGTCATTTAAATGTGCTCACATTTCATTAAAATGTATCAAACCAATAAATAACACAACGAAGAACTCACAGCTCATCCACTCACAGAATCATCCACTATTATTCTCAATATAGTACACTAAAAAACTCAAACGTAAACACAGAACTTAATATTCTCTAAAGAAAAATAATATTTAAATTTATAAATACCCACAACAAAATTTTAATTATCTCTTATTTTTTTCTAAGTTTTCCATTATATTTATTCTAGATGTATGATTTAAGATTACGATGAATATAATTATGATGACCAAACATTATTAATCACTAATCATTAATAATTCATAATTGAATAGAACAAAATATTTAATCAAGACTTAGCTAGTTTACATTTCTACATATAAATATATACATATATTTAATGGGTCAAGACTTGATAGAAATAAGTCCTTTGAAGTAGGTGAGTATATTTTCAAAGAAAAAAATCTGGTGTGTCCCCCTTCTCAAAAAATCTCTAATTCACCCCTTTCTTACAAGATATGAACCCATTATCTTACATACGAAATTGAATAGCTGAAACTTCGTTAATAGTTGTCCGAAATCAACAATATTATACAGTTTTGTAGGGAATTTTATTACATTTAAAAAAAACAGATGGAAATGTTTCTTTTGGACAACTATTAACGAAATTACAGCAGAATCAGGAGGCTCTGAAACGCATAGATCCGTCAAAAACCGCATATCGGAAATTTTACCCGATCGATATACTTTCCTTACTTAGTATAGGTAGGGAAGTAATAAATTAAAACATGTGTAGAAAATAGAATACGCTGTATCATCGCTAATACTGGTTCGATTCCGATGGTTTTTTTTATTTTTTTTTTTTTGTTTGTTGGTAATTTAATTATCTTTCAAAATTTATATTTAAACTGTAAATTTACCATAGAATATATACTTAGCGAGTTAGGCCCCCAACATTTTTCTTTTCTTTATAATTTCTTTTTCCTGAATTTATTCGGGAATTTCGTACAGGTACAAAAATTGAAATGACTATTATTAGAACGTTATAGGAAAGTTTCGTCAATATCGTTAGAGCCGTTTTTACGCTACAGTCCATAGAAAAATATTGTTTTTAAATTATTGCGCAGGAAGGATATAACTTATGTCAGAGGCATCAGTAGTCAAAACCCTACAAAATAAAAAAAGAAACAAAATCGGTTCAGTACTTTTCGAGAAAATCTTGGCACAGACAGACAGATCAATGGCTAAAAATGTGTTTGTATGTTGTGGGGGCCCTGAAACGTATAGATCCGTCAAAAACCCCATATCGGAAATTCGGCCCGATCACAATACTTTCCTTACCTAGTAGGAAAGTAAAAAGAGACTTACTTAATTGTCAATCAATTTCAGAATCAATGATTGTAAGATTTTTATTATTATATTTTTTTCAGCCTAATATAAATTTTTTTGAGAACAAAACGAAAATATATAGATAAAAAGATATTATTTCTTTGAACGAGACTATATGACTTGGCAAAATGCTTGACGGCTAGCGTAGAGGCGTCAGGTCCTGAAGTTCCCTATTGTCCTATTGTCCAAGGGCGGACAATACACTGATCTTAGGCTATTGAACCACGGCACCGCTTTCCCCATATCAAGGCAGCAATATCGCTAATGTCCACCTCTATATACTCCATACTGCTTATACCTCTAACCGTTATGTATTTATTATTGTCTTATATCGTTAAGACTTGTAAATTATAAATAAAAAAAAGTCAAAACAACCTTAACTCTCGATAGATGAAAGTATAATTTCAAACTCATGCTGTCCTCACTTCGTTTTTTATACTGGGTCTCCCGTAAGTTGAGAAAAATATTTATCCTGCACTTTATATAAACAACAGGCCTGGTTTTCCTCAGAAAAGTAAGGAATTTAATATTTGTGTTTTTTCAAGTGTCACTTTTTGCTGAATAAGGAGCGATAATTAAAAAAATATTTAAATCAAATAATTTAAGATTACTTCGCAGTTAGTGTTGCCCAAATGCGAGACCGAGACAAGTCTTGGTCTTGCAAACTCAGTCTTGATCATGGTCTTGGTCATGCAGTTACCTATTATTACTATAGAGATATTACTGTAATTTTTTACATAGAAAAATCCTAAACAAGCCCGAATGAAAAATTAGGGGAGTTAAATGCAAAAGTATATTGGTTATATCAATTATTTACACATAGTAACTAAGAATGTCAAGTATTAGAAACTATTTTGCCTTAAATTTTATTCAAAAAAACGATTTTATTTTACCAGTCCTTGTCTTGGTCTTGCAACAGTTAGGCGGCCTTTGTCTTGGTCTTGCACTTTGCAACCGATTTCGGGCAACACTATTCACAGTAAACTGAAAAAAAAAATTGGTTCAGACGAAAGAAGAGTTTGTCATTGTCAAAACAATTCAATGAGGTCTTTTGTGGGAATAAACTAGCTAATTTATGTTTTTAAACAAATCCATGAATTGTTTCCTTTTTTTTAATCACCTTTCCAACTATTATATTACTACAGATACCCTAGAAAAACTACCTTGTTTAAAAAGCTCTAACTCTGTATTAATTATGTTGTGGTTTATTACAAAATAAGTTGAGATTCATCTCAATTTTGTAAAAACATGTAGTGGTTTAATATACTGCAATCAAAAGCAGCCGTGTTTAAAGCAAAAATATTTATTCGCTCAAAAGGTATCCTTTAAATGATTGTAACATTGACGAACTCTAATTTCGTTTGAAGTAAATGTTTTCTACTTTACAGTAAAGAAATTTGTAATTACTTTAATTACATATTTTTGTTTATTCATCGCTTCCTATTCATAAAAAAAAC